GTATACAGGTAAACCAGAATACGAATAGACGTGAACACATTGTGCGCGCTAGCAAATTACTGCACATAGCGCTCTAGTTTACCGAGAACAGCTTGTTTATGTGGATAGTGTAGAAGCTTTTCACAACGTTGACAAATTTTTTGTGTAAAATCTCAATTTATATATATTGGATTTGAAGTTTCCGCGGGAGCTATATGTGATTTCAGTTGTTTTCCGGGTTTGACTCCGCGTTAAGTAATTTTGGTTTTTAGAAAAACCATTGTTTTGACGACGTTTCGGCAAGGTCACACTTGCCATTGTCAAGTCAGATTAGTTCTGCTTCGTCTTGATGTTTCAGGAGAACTGATGATCAGTAAGGCTTGACGTTGAGCACCTTTTTTAATATTCGTTGCATGCTTCGCTGGGATATTTTCTGTTCTTTGGCCATTTGATTACCACTATGACGTGGATTTCGCTCAAGTCGACCCTTTACTTTCCGAACCATTTCAGGTGATGTTGCTGTTTTTTTTTCATCCACCACCATAGCGTTTGGCAATGCTACCAGTATCATTATAACGAGTTATGGTGCGATACACAAACATTTTATTCACTTTAAGGTGTTTGAGCTGACGAACAATAGCTGGTTGTGATTTTCCAGCCAAATATAACGCAATCACACTATTACGTTTAAATTCCATTGCGAATAACTTTTGTTGTATGTATAAAGCTTAAATGCAAATGCTTTTGACGGCTTATAAACATACTGAAGTGTTATCAGGCTAACTTTGACGTAGCTGTCATTATCGTTTGTCAGATATATCGATGTGAAGTTGGTAACAGTTCAATTGCGTAACCCTGTATATGTATGTATTTTTAATAAATGTTTCCTTGGTCTGAATGCATTTTTATATTTATTATTTCTACTGGTTATATATAATTATATTTTAAATATTTTATACTGATTGTCCCAGTGTACCTGCTTGGGTGTTTTCTCATTTTTTTTTTCAAAAATCAAATTTAAAAAATGTACAAAATATTTTTTTATATAATTATGATAATAATTAAAAACAACTCCTAAAGGATTTTTAGTTGGGCGGTGGGCATTAATGGGTTAATTCACCAATAAATAAGCAGAATTGCTTATAAAGAGAAAGAAGGAAAGAAGAAGAAGAAGACTTTTTCAGGAGTTATGCGCGTGGCTGGCCTTCACACCATGTAAAACTTTAGAGCCTAGAAACGCCAACGGGCGACCATGACCCTCCATGGGCTGTCAATTGCCACAGATGGCTGTTAATAAGTAGACTTTTATTTATCGAATACAAAAATCCAAAGTTATGATGTTAAATAACCTTAAAACGGTTATTCCACAATTTTTTGTTGAAAAAGTTTTTATATAAATAATAAAATAAGGTAAATATACGAGGAAGACAGATAATAAAAAGAAAATGGAAAAACCTTAACCAATAGAGGAAGCTTTGAGTAAAAACAATATGTAACACATATTTATCTTCAATGCCTTAAATACATTATTCAAACCAAATCATTAAGATCGTATCTCAAAATTGTATATTTTTTTGTTATACTTTCAAAGAAATAAAATAAAATTTTTAATAAAATAACTTTGAATTGCCGCAGATATGGGAACAATTAAAAGAGAGCCAAAGCGGCAGGAGTTTAGAAGTTTAGTCGGGAGTTTCCGGCCGAACAATCACATCAAAATTTAATTATAAAATACATATGAATCAAGTCTCATCCCTAGCTTTTCATCGAAGGGCGACCCTGTCTGTATTGAATACATGAAGCCAGTTATTAGGTCTCTATTGTTAGCCTGTAGCTACCAGATCGTATAAATTATATTGTAAACACAGTGGCGTGTGCATACGCTCATTGTATGAATTAAGCTGTGGTAATTTTCCCCTCATTTGCCACTGTCTGGATTTATTAGATCGAGAGGGGACAGGGTCGGCCACTTAATAGCGGTATTGAGAAATTGATTTTAAATTCACAAACGTTAGCTTGAATTTTAATTCAGCATATTATGAGTAGATAGCCAAGTATTGAGACAGACAAGTAAAAACAAATATTTATCGCCAAAAACGGATTTTTTTATTTATAGATGTATTAGTACTGCAATTGAATATTTTTAACATTTTTTTACATAAATCACTTGTTTTTTTCCGCGATTGTCAAATTATACTATGCAAACAAATCTTTCTATAGTTAAAATATTTATGTCATAATAACTACTAAACTTATTGCGGAGAAATATTGTAATCTCACATTAAGTTACAAGACGATTTTAATAAATTCATTTAAATTAGAATTCAATAATTTTTACGAAATTTTTTATACAGTATATTATGACTTCGTTGCTGATATTGTCGCCAGAGCGGCTCAATCAAAGCGAAAATTGTCACTCTGGCCGGCCAATTACAAGGGTTTTTATTAACTGCAATTGTATTGACCCTCCGACGGAAAATAGCTGCGGACATGCAACCAAGAAATGCATAAAAGCAGCGTACCTTGCGATCGGAGAATCATAGAAAACCACCTGGGAAAAATCACGGAATACACCAAAAAATGGAAGATCAAAATCAACCCCCAAAAGACGCAATTCATCATATTTACCCAGGAGACGAGTCCACCGTGGTGGAAATAACAATAGGAGAAAATAGAATCCAGTTGAAAGAATCAGTCAAGTACCTAGGAGTCCATCTCGACAGGAAACTCAACTTCAAGAAAAACACACAACAGATCAAAGTAAAAGCAAACAGTGATAAAAACTAATACTTTCGTATATTTTTAAGTTCAGTCCACTAACGAAAGCTAAGAAGATTCAGTTATAGCAGGCCTATCTTAAATCGGTAATACTATTCGTTGTCCCACTTTTGAGCTCCATTTCGGAATCCAACTGGAAGAAACTTGAAGCGACAGAGGCGTCATATTACAGGATCATCAATGGACCAACATGGGAAGAACGAATTATAAATGCAACCATCAAAGAAAAGCTTAAGTATACACCACTGAGGGAGGTGACTGAGAAAAGGTCAAGGTATTTCTACCAATAAGCCACAAGAAGACTTCCTAAGACCAGAGAGATCCTCGCCAAGAATCGGATCTAGAGGATCTTTAGATCCACTCATGGACTGATCGACCATATGATCAGGGTCTAGATGGGTGGTTACCGAAGACAGCCAATTAGGAAAGTAGGTACGACGTCAAAAACAAGTTCCTACAGTAAAAGAAGCCAAGGAGTCCACAGGGCAGAAAAATTCAAAATCCGAGAGGCAGCAGTTCAATAAGTAAGCGGTGCAAACGCGGGATGTCAAGAAAGAAGGCTACAGTTTTACAATAAATGGATTTTACAATAAATGTAAATCTTATTAACGTTTAATTAGGCAATAAACGTTTTTATTTTTTATTTTTATTTCATATCGGAGAATCAAGGTAGTTCTTAATCTTAATGCTGTCAAGACCTATTATGGCTGAGTAGACCATTTCACGAAACTCTGCGTTTTTATTTCTCAGCTATACCAAGCTTCATTGAACTACGAGACTTCTCACGACTATAATATTATCAAATAATCAAAAGTGTAGGAAACCGGCATTTTGACTGTTTGACTAGCTTTTGTTCGAGATAAAGGTGGCGGTCCGAAGTGAGCCCTTCGCTACGAATCGTGATTGCGGGAATAAGTAAAAGTCCGTAAGGGACCATTATTCCACAATCTCGATTATACGTCGAAGCCTGAGGAACCGACATCTCTGTTGGTATTAGAGGTGTCTCCTGTACGTAGAGTACTGACAAATACTTCATGTAAGATAAATTCAAGTGTAAGAAATTTTAACTGATAAAGTAGTCTACATTGCCAGTAGAACCTTGACAACAGAACCCCGGGTGAACCGCTCTTTACTTAAAAGTTACGTTACTTCTCGATTAACTAGAGAATGGAATCGAAAAACCTTCATTCCTTCTCAAGAGCGGCAGCTACAAATCATCCTGAAACTGATACTATAAGGTTTGACATTTCTACAACAGTTGTTATACTAATGTTGCAAAATACTTTTAATTTTCTATCCATTAAAAATTTAAATCTGTGAATTGTTTGGCAAAAACATCAAAATTAAAACTTTTAAATTGTTTAAAATATATACGCATGATTAAAAAAAATTTCAAGAAAACACACATTAAAAAAAAAGTTCCTAGCAAACCTAGAAATGAGCTAACCGATGCCACAGCAGGTACGTCATGGATTTATTGCCCGTCAAAAAATGAACTACATCAGTCCTAGTATAAGTGTGCCGCATTTTTTTTATAAGATCCCGGAAAATCAAAAAGGCACCAAATCCGAATAGAAACAGAATATTAACCGAATAGAAAATGTCGTGTTGAACTAGAGTGCGTTTTTTTTTAAATCGAATTTTCCTTATCACAACAAATTTGTTTGGCTCCACCATTTTATCCTTTATGCCATTTTATGAATCGATAGAGGAGTATTGTTATTATAGTGCATTAAAGCTATTAATTAAACCCAAACATATGAATGTTAATAGGTTAGTGCCGGTGATTTTATCCTTCATGTCACTTGAAATTTTGTTAGGTTTCACGATAAGGAATGATAATAATACTTTGTTTTATCGGCATAACAATTCTACAAGTCTATACCTGGGAATAAATCGTACATGTGTGAAAAATTTGAGTGAATTAAGCTCTTAAAATTATTTAAGTAATTTTTGTAAGTAAAATTATCTATTTTAATTTGAATTTTATAAAAAATACTAATCATATTAACGTCATCATCAAACTTTCATCTCTTGTACCACTACATTTTACCATTCTCTAGTTATTTGTAAAAATGTACACCTAACTTTCACTTTTTATGGATAATTCCTACAAAAAACACCATCGTCTTTTTTATAGAATATTCATCCAAAATTATTATATACACCTATTGGTCACAAATTTTACAAGAAACTGCTTACTCTTAGTGATACTCGTAACCCCGATGGTCGAATATGTGGGGCTATTCTGAGTAACTCGTTTTATCTGATCCAGTGTTGGAACCAGGGGAGGATGCTGCGGTGTTCTCGTTCTTGTAGAGATCGTGTACTGGTCCCACAAGCGACAGGTAGTCTGGAGGCGGTCTGATAACTGTGGGTAGGTAGCCAGTTCCGGCGTACGGTGCGGACAAAAACCTCCTTGATGGACTGTACCTGTGGAAGTTTGTCGGTGGGCCGAGTGGGGAAAATGCCGACGGTGTGGATAGTTCTTCGTGACTGCCACTTACCATAAGCTCCATGGCTTGGAGAACATCTCCTTTACATCTGTAACAATATAGATTTTGATGAAACATTTATAAACAATTAAATAACAAAATAAAAAACAAAAAAATGTATGTAAAATGGAGATAATGAAATTGGAAACAGAAAAGAGTCGAACACAAAGAGAAATACAATAAGAAAAAAATACCTGAGATTGTTTGTCAAACGACAATAAAAACATAAGAAAAGGAATAGAAAATTTCAAACCGGAGATCTAAAAGTAAAAGTGAAATTAAAATCGTTCTAAAGCTATTTTTTTTGGCATCTTAAAGCAATTACTATATTAATGGGAATAAACCACAAATAAAGTTTAAAATAACTTTATTGACGTTTCAATTTCCATTTCAGAAATCATTTTTAAAATACAAGCATATGAAATAAAAAATGAAAATATGAAATTGAAAATGAAGAGAATCTCTGCATTATCAAAACAAAAACAATAATAAAAACTGTTTATTATTGTGTGTGTGAATACGCATTTTTAATTACCAAATACTCTAGATTAATTTTCATTTGACGCAAAAAATCTTTTTCCTAGTATTCTTCCATGACACACGAGTTTTAACCTTATTTAGGCCTCAGCCTCTTCAAGGAATGGGTCACTCTTTTTTTTTCAGAGTTGTGGGGGTGTGATAAACGTCAATTAAAAGATACCCGATGTTAAGAAGTAATAGACTACTAAGGAGCAGGGGGAAAAGACGGTGACTTGTAGTGTAATCGATAGGAACGCATAAGAAGAAGTGGGAATTGCCTAGCATGCCAGTTGAGGTGCTTCAGGGGTTACTAGCCATACAGTAGGAACGGCTCTTTATCAGCGTTTTTGGATCGCAGTCTTTATCTGCGATATTGTATGTAGGATGTTTCTAGGATTTCAAAATACTCATAAGGAAGTTCATGTCCAGTGTTGTGCAGAAGTTTTGCTGGAGGAAACGGAACTTTCTTAGTGGGAAACCTAGTGAGTATTTGCCCTCAATGGTTGCAAGGCGTCCTTAGTGTTCCTTTTGCTCTGTTGTTCAAACCAGCTATGGTTCTTAGGACATACTTCCTGCTGAGGGTTAGGATTATGTCTTTGATTGGCGTGATTTTGGCCAATATGTGTATGTAGGCTGATGGATACGACCAATCTTTTTCTCATGCAGTATCTTAGTATTCTACGTTCAGTAGCTGCAATATCATTCAGTTGGTGACTGTTGAGATAGATGTAAACGCGTGCCCTGTATTCGATTATCGGTCTAACAAAAGTCTTGTAGGTGTGCAACAGAGTTTTAGAAGATATTCCGCCAATTTTGCCGGATTCCTCCTACAGAAACTTTTTTCTAGTTAAAAAACCTTTTAGACCATAATATTACAGATCCAATCATTACATCTGAAATTTTCATCTTCTTAAAATTTGCATAAGCCAGGATTACTTTGAATTTAATAATCACATATATACAAATAACAGTGCAAGATTTATAATGGGTTTTTTTAAGCTCATTTCTATCAGATATTTTTTATGGATTATCTAGATACAAAGATTTCAAAACATCTCGTATTCAAGAACAAAACCAATCCATAAATTTTTAGATTTACAAATTATCAGGCTTAAAAAAACATGAGTTTCCCGTATTTTATAAACCTACCCATACTGACACTACCATACACAATTTATCATCTTATCCTACACAACATGAACTGGCCGCCTATCATAGCATGTTATATAGATTAACAGAAATTCCGATGTCAAAATACAACTTTGAGACAGAATTAAATATCATTAAGCAAATCGCAGTAAACAATGGGTACACTGAACAAACAATGAATATAATTTTAAATCAAAAACACCAAAGAAAAAACCCAGTATCTTCTGCTCGATTACATATACAGGAAAAATATAAACAAAAATAGCAAAATATATAGCAAAAAAATAGCAAAAAGCACATACACAGTGGTGTGTACAAACTTAAATGTGGTGAATGTCCAAAAACTTATATCGGTCAAACTGGTAGAACTTTTAACAAACGTATAGCAGAACACAAAAGGGCTTTTAATAATAGAAAATCATATACTACATACACATTTTATCTTCTAGATCATAATCATTCTTTTAACGATAAATTTCAAATCTTCACATCCAAAATAAAGGCCCTAAGCTATCTTTATTAGAATCTATGGAAATTAACAAATTAAAAAACACAGACATAATTCTGAATGACCAACTTGAGATAAACAGTTCTCCCCTTCTTAACCTACTTCGTTAAATGCGATAAAGTGTAAACACATACAAAAGTAGATCGCTTGAGAAAAGCACTCTGCCAAAACAGCTGTAGCGTTCGGAATTTATAATAAATTTTATGGAATTTTTGAAAACAGACTTTTCAGTATTTTATTAATAAATGAAATATTGATGACATCTGACAAACTCTTTGAATTATTGAAATTATTATACTTAGATTATTAATAAATGATATCAACAAAGAAAAAAATATGTCATACCTTTGTAAAAGTGCCTCGACGTCCGATCTTCGCCTGCCCGGAAACACCCTCATCAACACATCAATAGGACTTCTCTGCGGATAGGCAGGCTGATATTGAGGCGGAAACTGCCCAAACGGATGTTGGTACGGCATAAAATTTGACGCCTGTTGGTGGGGTGGGGTTTCGGGACTCGCCGGTTTTTCCCTTTTTACTGAAAGGTTTTCGGGAGCTTCTGATTGCGTGTCTTCTTCGACGTCTAGATCTGGATCGGGACTTGTGACTGGGTCTGGAGATGGAGTAGGAGCTAAAGGAGTCGGTTGGGGATTTATTGGGGACGAGTGCTGACTTCTTTTTATTTCTTCTTGATCTGAGTCTGATTCTTCTAACTGACACTCTTCGACGTTGATTCTGGGCCTTTTGGATGCTGAAACAAAGAAGGTTATTAGTAAATTACACATTTACGTTATGTTTAAATATATATTTTACTCAAACTATGGTTAATGTTGCCAGCCATTTTTCACAGGTTTGTAGATTTGGGCGTTCTTTCGTCAGTTGTTAGGTTAGCTGTGTACGGTACGTGCATATTAATAAGAATTTGTTTGGTAAGTAAAAATATATTTCTATGCAAAATGAAGTCAACGATGGTTTCTTGAACTTTTATTTGATAATTTGTATTATACATAACGTAATAATTGACAATATAACTTTATCCAAAATCATTGGTAACCATATGGTAACAATTATCAATTAAAAGATTTTCAGTTTCAGCGTTTTGTCTATCATGGACATATTCACTAGATTACTTCATGTAGTTTCTATGGAAAATTAAAGGGTAAAATATCACCTTTTCCTCAAGTTTCTGATAGCTCTGAATCATCGAAAAAAATTGTCCAGTTATATAGTAATATTAATAGTATAGTAATATTATTTAAATTTTGAATTTTTATTTTTCGATGTGAATATATATATATATATATATATATATATATATATATATATATATATATATATATATATATATATACATAAGAGAGGGAATAAAAGAGACTGTTCCACTTATAGAGGTATTAGTGTGACGAGCTCTGTGGGCCGGTTGTACGGCAGAATATTAAAGAAGAGGGTTGAAAGATAGATACAAGATATTGAAGAACAAAGCGGCTTTCGTACCGGGAGATCCTGCCTTGATAATATATTTATCCTACGACAAATAATTGAAAAGCGTGTCGAAAGAAGTAGAGAGACCCATTTGGTATTTATAGACCTTGAGAAAGCATATGATAGTGTCCCGTTAAAGAAAATGTTTGAGGTCCTCAAAAGGTCCGGATTGGATTCGACGTATATCCGAGCGATATATAAATTGTACGAAAATGCAGTTAGTTGTGTAAAAATTGGAACCAGAACCTCAAATGAATTTAAAGTCACTAAAGGCCTAAAGCAAGGATGCTGTTTGTCACCGACACTCTTTAAAATATACGTCCAAGAAGCATTGAGGAATTGGAGAAATAAATGTAGATTTATGGGCATCGAAGTGGGACAAGAAACTCTGTATACATTGTTGTTTGCAGATGATCAGTTGGTGGTTGCAACCGATGAGGAAGATATAAATTATATGAATCAAAAATTATTTGAGGAATATGCCAAATGGGGGCTTACTGTAAACATAAGCAAAACAGAATATTTAAAAATTGGAGGAAATACCACAGATCTGAGGCTTGAAAACGCAGTCATAAAAGGCTGCAACCAGTATAAATATCTAGGAAGCATCATATCAGCAGATGGCAGAGTTAAGATAGATGTACAAAACCGAATAACCCAAGGGAAAAAATGCATCCGAATACTGAATTCATTACTGTGGTCTAATAAAATAAAGATGCATACCAAACTTCGCGTATACAGAGCAATTGTAGAACCAATTACCACATATGGTGCCGAATGTTGGACGATGACAAAGAATGAACGAGATAAAGTAGACGTTGTGGAAATGGATTATCTTAGAAGGTCATGTCGAGTATCGAGAATGGAAAGAATCAGGAATGAGGAAATACGAAACCGTACAGGAATTAGAGATACTCTTTCAGATAGAATACAAGGAAGGTAATTACAATGGTATGGTCACGTGATGAGAATGGAGGAGGAGCGGTGGCCAAAGAAAGCCTTAATGTATGTTCCGCCAGAAAGAAGGAAAAGGGGAAGACCACCAAATTCCTGGAGAAGAGAAATTACAAAAACAATGCAATCTAGAGGCTTAGAAGAGGGAGATTGCGGAGATAGGAAAAGATGGAGGCTGAAATGCGGGAAGCGGCAATCGCCGTAGGACCCCCGTTATATGATGATGATGATGATATTATTTGAATAATTTTAGATGATGATTCAGATATAATACCAAGTGACCCGAAGCACTCCGATTCTTTTATTTATTAAGCTCAACAGGCCTTGAAGGCTCAGGGCTGAAAAGCTAATTTTTCCTTATAATTACTATTACATATTTTATATAATGCTATATCCTATACTACTATAATATATACAATATTACATTTGTTTATATAAAATACTTAATATTCCTTATAGTCTTTCCATGCATTTCTTCACCACTACCTTCCATTTAAGTCTCATATACGCTGCCCTTCCATCTCCTTCTTGGTCTTACTATTCTTCTTTTTTGTATTGGTTACGTAATGCAACCATTTTTCGCATTCTCGCCTTCGCCATTCTTTCGATGTGTCGTCAGTATCTCTTCTTCTCGATTGTCCATCTATTTTCACGCCTCCATATATTGCTCGTTGTATTTTCCTCTTCTATCTTTCTAAAAGGTATATTTCTGATTGTTTAGGCACCCATGCTTCACTGGCATATGTAGCTGTAGTAACTGTAAAACAGTCTAAAACAGTCTGGTAACTGTTTTATATATTCTTATTTTTGTTTTTCTTGAGACATATTTGGATTTCATTCATACTTTTATTCATACTTTCTGTTTGCTTTTGCTATTCTTGCTTTTATCTCCTCTTTCCCATGTCCATTTTTATCTACTTTTACACCCACGTATGTAAATTCTGAAACTCTTTTAAACGCATGAATTTTCTCTTTCTACCTCCAATATGAAATTGTCTTCTTTTTCTTTATCTGTTTCTCCCATTATCATGTACTTTTAGCTCTTTCTTACTCGTTGCTAATAGTGTTAGATCATCTGCGACTGCTTTACATTGATGGCCAATTTTAAAAATAGTTCCCTGTGTGTTTATTTTACTTTTTCTAATTATTCCTTCCAGTATTACAATAAAAAGTGTCGTTGATACTGGGTCTCCTTGTCTTAATCCTTCCTTTGTTTCAAAATTTAATTTAAAATAAAGGAAGGAATAACAACTCCGATTCTTATGAGAATTTATTACCTGCCAAGCATAGTCATCAAATAAGGACACAAACTCTAGGTATATTATACTCTTAGGAGCTACTAACTCTCAATTTTAATTTGGAAAATATAATATAAACGACCCTGAAGCTGCCGATCAACCTTCTAGAAAAGTGAAAAATTTATAAATAAAATTCAACTGGACGAATAGCGACTTACCTATTTACTATTGCTTAAATTTTTCTATAAAATAACCTGTAACAATCCATACCCCTGACGCTACTCCTATGGAGGGAACTTCGTTGGAACAAAGAAGTTGGAAACTATGATTACAAACTGTACATCAGATATAAAGAACAGTAAGGTAAGCTAGATTAAAACAAAAAAATTAAAATAAAAAAGGATAAACCACTGAGTATTTTTATGAAAACTGATTTTAATACTGGTGATGTTGAAATACATCTTCACAAGAAACTTCAAAAAGGACGGCCTGTTCCAATGCAATCCCTAAGTAACCACTTGATTCCGATTTGGTCCACAGGCAAGCCACTTTCTGTGCCTAAGCTTAACTACTTTTCAGTAACAATACATTGTTTTTATAATACAGATGACATTGACGGATTTTATGTAGACTTAGAGTTTGCCATACAATATGAGTATTGTTTATTACTGTTTTTATAAAATTTAGAAAATTGTACCTACTGTTAACACTGAGTTCAATTTTTTTTATAGTTTTGATTAATTTCTTACGTAATATTAAATATTCAAAACAACGATTTTTTTTGGCATACCCAAAAATAAAAAATATCTTGTGGCCTACTAATCATTCACTAAAAGTGTTATTTTAGTTACGCATCACTAGACCAAACGACCTCCATGTCGCTTGGTCTATTGATGTATACTTAATACAATTACACAATGTAGCGAAAATCGTAAATCGATCAAAAGCCTTTTTATTTTTTTTTTCCTTTTTCTTCAACATTAGCAAGTTACTACTTCGCACTTAAAGAAAACATAAAAAACTGTCTTCGAAAACAAAAAATTACGACTATTGTAACAGATATTGAATTTTATAAGAGTGAAAACTTTGAAGTCAAAAAATATTAGCTTTTTTTATTTTTTTTTTCTTTAAAATTACCCCTAACAGTGGGTCGATAATATACAACTCACGACCAACACGACGTATTTACTACCTATATCTGACACGGCAAACTAGACTTGTCTGAAAGATCTCTATTTGCGTTACCTTTTCTAATATTTATCTAGATTCAGTACCTTTGTTTGTCTCTACCATGTAGTGATTAAATAGTACTGATTGTGTATTGAGAAATTTCAAGAAAAAATCATACTGTCTTTTAATATTTGGTAATAACGTTATTTGTCTTGTATTTCATGCGTGGGTTCTTAAATTCACAAGCAAATGGATAGTAAAATGCTTTACAGTTAACCATTTTGTGTTTATAGTTACTCCTAAAACATTTTCGTGTGGGTAGTTTAAACGAAAAAGAATTATTTCCAGCAATTTTAGTTAAACAAACGTTTAAAATTATATCGGAGATAGGTGAAATGTTATAAAAAATCGCATGTCACCATGAGACAGGAGATCCAATTAGATAGATTTTAAATAAATAGAATCTATTATCGATCTCCGTAGTGGACCCCTCGAACGAAGAATTTACCATTATCCTTTTAACTCATTAAGTACTGAAGTTTAAAATTGCGGAATTTGCAATAGTTTTTTCCATAATAAGGGTGTCTAAATATTGTACATAACTAATATTTTAATTACCCGTCTAGTAAAAACAATATTACACCATGTGTCATGTGACACAGTAGTCTCCTATACTACTAAAGTCAACAAATATTTGAAAAGTATTTTTATTGTTAATTTTACAATTTACAAATTACAATTTTGACTGCCAGCACAACGTGTTCTTTTATTATTCGGAACTTATTCAACATGGTAATATCTGTGGTCGTACCTAATATCGACACCAATCCTGCTTTTAGGTGAATATGTGGGTGGTTGTCCAGCAGCTCTTGGTATGATCTCCTTTTGATCATCTTTCTTGTAGATA